TTGAAGTGAAAGAAATATTGATCTCTAGGTTCAGAGGTGGGTGTGGGGTGTGTGTGTGTGTGGAAGGTCAAGGCCAAATAAAAGCATACAAAGGAGACAAAAAACTTCTTGTTCTTTGAGTCCTTTGCATAATTCAGTAATATCTCAGGAACTTTGACTCACCATGGGATTCTATTTCAAGAGCTTCTAGAGAAACCCCTGCTTCCCACAATGGTCATCTTCCCTTGGATATACCCTATCAAATCACAGTCCCCATGAGGTTACATCATGCTGTGGGATAGCTGATCTCCTTGTTTGTAATTGTAAGGGAGTCATAAAAAAAATCTGCATCAGTCTTAACTATTTTTCTCTTTTTAAATCCTCAAATAATGATTCATTAGGATTTACCTCAGATTGGGACTTGAACCCATGTCCCAGGATTCAAACCCATGCAAAATCTAGTTTGGGATTCTAACATAGCTGGGACTTGAACCCAGTCAAAACCCACAGTACCTGGTTTCTGGACCTAATGAAACTCAGCTTCTTGATGTCTTAATCACAAAAAGAATTCAGTGAGAGACAAATTGAAAGGTAAGAAGATGATTTATTCAGATTCAGCGAGAAGCACCCTCCACAGACAGAGTGTGGGCCATTGCAGAGGACAAGTGGGGCTGTGAAATGTGGCTAGCATTTTTTCTTTTCCTTTTTTTTTTTTTTTGCTGTTTGTTGCCTTTTCTTTTTTAATATGTTTTAAATTAATTTATTTATTTTAATTGGGGGCTAATTACTTTACAATATTGTAGTGATTTTTGCCATGCATTGCCATGAATGTTGTTGCTGTTCATCACTCACTCAGCTGTGTCTGACTCTCTGCAACCCCATGGACTGCAGCACGCCAGACTTCCCTGTTCTTCATCATCTCTCAGAGCTTGCTCAAACTCATGCCCATTGAGTCAGTGATGCCGTCCAACCATCTCTTCCTCTGTTGTCTCCTTTCCCTCCTGCCTTCAATCTTTTGAAGTTTTTATGGGTTGGGTAATTTCATTGGCTAATCAGTGGAAGGATTATTCCAACTATTTTGAGGAAGGGGTGCAGATTTCCAGGGATTGGGCCACTGCCTACATCTTGGTCCTTTGACAGTGCCTCGGAACAGTTATGGCACCTCTGAGGGTTTCATTTAGCTTGCTGACTGAGGATCAAGGTCTAGTGAAATTGACTTGCCTGCCATCTTGGACCCATTTGATTCTAATTGGCTTATGTTGTGTCTTTGAGGTATGTCATTCTTCCAAAGTTGTGCCCCGCCCACTTACCTGCTGTTTCAGAAAGAAGTTACAAATTTCAGTGGTGCCTAGATAGCAAGAAAGGAACCAGAGATCAAATTGCCAACATTCTTTGGATCATAGAGAAAGCAAGGGAATTCTAGAAAAAAAAGATATCTACTTCTGCTTCATACTGTTCATTGGGGCTCACTGGAGTGGTCTGCCATTCCCTTTTCCAGGGGAGATTAAGAAGAGGTGGCAAGAATACACAGAAGAACTATATAGAAAAGGTATTAATGACCTGATAACCATGATGGTGTGGTCACTCACCTAGAGCCAGACATCCTGGAGTGGGAAGTCAAATGGGCCTTAGAAAGCATTAATATGAACAAAACTAGTGGAGGTGATGGGATTCCAGATGAGCTATTTAAAACCTGAAAAGATGATCTTCTTAAAGTGCTTCATTCAATATACCAGTAAATTTGGAAGATTCAACAGTGGCCACAGGACTGGAAAAGGTCAGTTTCATTCCAATCCCAAAGAAGGGCAATACCAAAGAATGCTCAAATTCAGTTCAGTCACTCAGTTATATCTGACTCTCTGTGACCCCATGGACTGCAGCACTTCAGGCTTCCCTGTCCATCACCAACTCCCAGAGCTTGCTCAAACTCATGGCCATTGAGTTGGTGATACCATCAAACCATCTCATCCTCTGTCCTGCCCTTTACCTCCTGTCTTCAATCTTTCCCAGCACTTCTGTACAGTTGTGCTAATTTCACAAGCTAACAAGTTCTTACTCAAAATCCTTCAAGCTAGCCTTCAACAGTATGTGAACCTAGAACTTACAGATGTACCAGCTGGATTTAAAAAATGCAGAGGAACCAAAGACCAAGTTGCCGATATCCATTGGATCATAGATAAAACAAGGAAATTCCATAAAAACAGCTACTTCTGCTTCATTAACTATGTGAAAGCCTTTGACTGCATGGATCACAAAAAACTGGAAAATTCTTTGAGATGGGAATACCAGACCACCTTATCTGTCTCCTGAGAGACCTGTATGCAGATCAAGAAACAACAGTTAGAACTGGACATGGAAAAGATTGGTTCAAAATTAGGAAAGGAGTACATCAAGGCTGTATATTGTCACCCTGCTTATTTAACTCATATGCAGAGTACATCATGAAAAACACTGGGCTGGAGGAATCACAAGCTGGAATCAATTTTGCAGGAGAAAATATCAACATCATCAGATAAGCAGATGATACCACACTAATGACAGGAAGCAAAGAGGAATTAAAGAGCTTCCTGATGAGGGTGATAGAGAAGAGTGAAAAAGCTGGCTTAAAACTCAACATTCAAAAAACTATGATCATGGCATGCTATCCCATCACTTCATGGCAAATAAAAGGGGAAAAAGTAAAAACACTGGCAGATTTTCTTTTCTTGGGCTCCAAAATCACTGCAGATGGTGACTGCAGTCACAAAATTAAAGACACTTGCTCCTTAGAATGAAAGCTATGGCAAAACTAGATAGCATATTCAAAACAGAGACATCACTTTGCCAACAAAGATCTGTATAGTCAAAGCTATAGTTTTTTTAGTACTCATGTATGGATGTAAGAGTTGAATCATAAAGAAGGCTGAGTGTTGAAGAATTGATGCTTTCAAATTGTGCTGGTGAAGACTCTTGAGAGTCCCTTGGACTGCAAGGAGATCAAATCAGTCCACCCGAAAGGAAATCAAACCTGAATATTCATTGGAAGGACTGATGCTGAAGCTGGAATACTTTAGCCACCTGATATGAAGATCCAATTCATCTGAAAAGAAATTGGTAATGGGAAAGATTGAGGGCAGGATGAGAAGGGGCTGGAGAGGATGAGATGGTTGGATGGCATCACGGACTCAATGGATATGAGTTTGAGCCAACTCAGGGAGTTAGTGAAGGAGAGGGAAGCCTGGAGTGTTGCAGTCCATGGGTTACAAAGTGTTGGATGTGACTTAGCAACTGAACAACAGTAATAAAACTAGCAAGAGGCATATAGCTGTTTTAGAAATTAGTGGGTGACATCAAATTTCAAATAGTCAGTCTTTAGCAAAGACTAGAAAGAGAAAGAGTTTTAAAATGCTTGGGAAATTCTGAAGTGGTTTCTATATTGTTTCTAAATAATTATCGCCATTTGTATGCCTCAGGAATCCTCCAAACTGCAACAAGATCCACTGGCCTTTTCTGGGAAGGGAGAGATGGGTTTGCTTGTGTGGGAGCAATCTCTTTAAGCAAGAAAAATAAGAGCAATGAAACTACTTTTACTAGTGATGCGACAAACATAGCAAGTAGTTACATGCTAATGCAAGCTATCACCTTTAATTAGGACTTGGGGAAGCTGAGTTCTGCTGTCTTCAGTCTTTCGAAATAAGCACTCATGATCAAAGAGCTACCTTCTTTAAATAATTTAGATAGATATCCATTTTAATTAAAGTAGATGTGGAATATTGGATATGAAAATGACTGCCGCTTCTTTTTTTTCACTTTTAGATTAAGGTGACTGGCAAACAGAAGGAAAGGGCATCAGCTTAATGCCTCTTTAGGGCTGCAGATCAAGCACACAGTCGCTGGAGGCCTTCTGTGATCCCAGCACTTCCCTGGGATGGAGCGGGTGGGCGGGAGCCTCTTCCAGCATCACCTGGTGGGTTACCACACAGGTGTCAACAGCTGCCAGAGGACAAGCCAATCTGGTTCCGCTTTTCAGAGAATGAGATGTATGCCTCCCTGCCCCCAAACCAGAGTGGCTTGGGATGCAGCAAAGCATCCGAGGAATCATGAGACATATCCTCAGGATGTCCTGAAAAGGTCCTGCTGAAGAGATACTCAGTCTATTCAGATCGGAAGGTAGCCCATGTACACCATCAGAAGTTATAAGGCTGCCCTGCTCTGCCTTGCAGGGTGAGTAAGGATGCTCACAAAAAAGTCTGGCAAAGAGCCATTCGGTTGCAAGATTTCGGCTGTCTCAGAATTCTTCAGTAGTTTCCTCTTTCTGCTTCATTTTCTCTTTCTCTCAGCTGTCTTGTACCTTCTCCTTTTCTCCTAGATCCCCATGCCAGTGGAATAGAGATGTCACCAGCAAATCAATGAACAATCATGTTCAAAACAAAGAGAAAGACAGAAAAGAATCCTGAGAGACTGGATAGCTTAGAGCAACGTTCCTTTAATTATGCTTCTTGTTCCACATGCCTGTAGGATTCCTCCTAAGCCTGGGGGTGGGCGTGGGGGGGCAAGGCAGGGAAAGCCATGCTCTTTTTCTTCGTCCTCCTCCTCCTCAAATATTTACAGATCCTGATTAAACTCACCAGTCCAAAGTGATTTCACTTATCTCACGTTCTATTAAAGTGGAAAGGGTAGGTTAAACGCCACCGCCCCGCATTTTACAGATGGTCTTCATCAATCAATGAAAATATCCGTAAGAATTAGGCAGTCACCCTTCTATATGCTTGTGAAAACCCGGCCGCCCCCCGTGGCCCAGCCCCTCCGCTCATTCTCCTTGGCTTCCCATTTGTTGGATCAGATTTTCAGCTTACCCCTTTTATACTCTGACTGCTCAGCATCTTCTTGGACCTATAAGTCAGATTCCCTTGCTCGGAAGGACTTTTGCCCCGCCCATCACAAATTTAGCTTTTGGAACCCTGAGATGGGCTTTGACCACGGTCTTCTAGCTCCGTGCACTAAACACATGGACAAGCGTCACTACATCTTTCGATCACAAGCTGCAAATCCAGGAAGCCTTCTTCACGTCCCTACTTGGCTTTTACTCCCTAGAAGGAGGACCGTACACAGAGTGGGGGAAGACCATGTACGCCGCACTTTTGATAAGAGAAAATAAAAACCAGAGCCAGGACTTCCAGGCAGTAGTAGTCGAAGTGGTGCGTGGAGAGTATGGATGCGGCAGGCAAAAGCAGAGGATGGCCTATGCAGCGAAGCTGAGCAAGGGATTTAACGACGGCAGTGAGTTGGGGTGGCTGTGGTCGGACTGAATGAGACAAAGTGTAGTGTGAGCTTAATTTTGATGGAGAGAACTGTAAAGGAGATGATGGGAAAATAATCTCAAAGCAGAAGAGTGTTTAACATCAAAAACATTAAAAAAAAAAAAAAAAGGTTTTCAAGACACAAGACATGTAGGAGGTTGAGATCCAGTTTGATTAGTCATGTGTTTTTCTTAATACCAACAAAGACCAGGCCAATATATGACTGAGCAAAGAACTCTTAGTCCCTGGTCACAGGATAATGAATTTGAAAACACTCTCTTTGGAAACAAACTCAAGGCATTTGATAACTCTGGATGCAAAGTTTGTGCTGAAATAAAAGTGAAGTTTCTTTTAACAATGGCAATGGATTCTGATATGAAGCTCAGCTGCCATAAAAAATTCAACATCAATTGCACACGAACATACTGCATGACCCTTGTATTAAAATAAGTCTTTCAAAGGACTGGATGTACTATAAATTGGGCAAGAATCAGGCTCTTTTCGAAATGCTAATATCCGTCAGGGATCAAGATTACCCTGTTTCTCCTGGAGGTCAGGAAGAGTGACACTAGGAATAAATGGGCCATTGGCTGCCATTGCTGAAAAGTTCAGCTTCATCCTTTCCATTGTCACAGTGAAATTCATAATTAAATGCCAATAGGATAAAGAGCAGGTCAGACCTGTCCAAATCAGTACGGAATAAGTGTCTGCTAAGATGATCCTACCCCCCAAACCACTGACAACTCCTGTACATTTGTATATCTCTCAGAGAGAGATTCATCCTGTGAGAGAGAAGGACTGATGTGCAGAATCTCATCTGCTGTCCTTGGGGAAACATTAAAAAATAAAAGATGATTGTTCTTCCCTGCTGTTCCCATAGACAATTGAGCTTTTTATGTCTTAAACTGCTTAGTCTCTTCCTTACTTTCCTGGCTACTTCCCACATTTCACAACCATTGTAACTCTGTTAAACATTAGTAGGTAAGAACGGAAACTGTAGGGTTTAAATGATGTCATCCTTCTCCAGGAGAAACTGAAAGTGAAAGTTGCTCAGTCATGTTCAAATCTTGGCGATGCCATGGACTGCAGCCCACCAGGCTCCTCTGTCCATGGGATTCTTCAGGCAAGAGTGCTGGAGTGGATTGCTATTTCTGCAGGAGAGGACTGCCTAATAGAAGAAATGGTCAGTTTTTTGGCTAAAAGGGTTTTCCCTGAGCCCTGCACTTGAGAAGGTTTGGAGGATATCATAGCCTGCCACCTCGTATGCTTTGCAGAGTGACCATTCCTGCTCTCTGGGGATGGGTCAGTCTTGACTTAGTCTGGCAGTCCTGCCCCAGATCAGGTATCTTGCACAGAGATCCTGAGCTGAATCCAACATGTCAGATGTTATCTCTCTTGCATTCTTTTTACACCCCAGCATGTCTTTGGTCTTTTTTTTTTTTTTTTGGCCTCTAAGGAAAATGATGAAGTGGACAAGACCAAATAGTTGGTAATATGTGGCCCAGGAAGAATTGAGACCTTCCCTGCGAGTGCCTCCCCCCTATGCCACGGGGCAGCCAGCCAAAGTGACTCTGTGGATACAAAAAGCTGGCTGTGAGCAAACTTCCATCTAATCTGCTAGACCTTGAATTCCTCTTAAAGTCCAATGTTTTGATCATGCAATATTTTAGGAATAATGTTCTTTGGTGATAATAATGTGATAGCACACAGGCCATGACCGTGACTAGAGCAGAGATTTTGAATACTGGCCATACTCACCTTCGGGAAGATTCAGCAGTTATTTGCATGGTAACAGTTTTAAAGAACTGGTCACAGTTCTGCCCAGCTCTGTCACTGCAACACACACCATGGGCATTCGTTGCCTCTGACGTGAGTTAGAGCCAGTGGAATGTCTTCAGGACACTGCTGTCACAGTGATGCACAGGACTTTAGACCTCTGGTTTGTTTATTAGCTTGTGTATATGTAGCACTAGATGCTTCTATTTTTTTATCCCTCTGTTTTGCCGTAAACTATCATGGCAGGAATGGCTTTTTTTTCTTCTCCCTGCTGCATTGCTTGTAAGTATGTTATTGTTGTTCAGTCACTCTGTCATGTCTGACTCTTTGCGGCCTCATGGACTGCAGCACGCCAGACTCCCTGTCTTTCACCATGTCCTGGAGTTTGCTCAGACTCACGTCCATCGAGTTGGTGATGTCATCCAACCATTTGTCCTCTGTTGTCCCCTTCTCCTCCCGCCTTCAGTCTCTCCAACATCAGGGTCTTTTCAAATGAGTCAGTTCAAATCAGGTGACCAAAGTATTGGAGCTTCAGCTTCAGCATCAGTCCTTCCAATGAATATTCAGGGTTGATTCCCTTTAGGATTCACTGGTTTGATCTCCTGGATGTCCAAGGGACTCTCAAGAGTCTTCTCCAGCACCACAGTTCAAAAGCTTTCAAGTATGCCTGAAACTAATAAGCATGGGCATATCTGATGAATATGATGAGATAACCGTGATAACTGCATCAAATCCTGCTAGAGAAAGCCTGGGGCATGTCTGTTAGCAAAGAAGTCTGAGATTCCCATATGATTAAGTGTGTGTGTGTGTGTGTGTCTGTGTGTGTGAAGAGAAACATCTGTGGGATGGATTCTGCATTCGTTCATTCATGAAACCAATATTTACTGCACCATTATGGGAATACTGGGAATTATACTGGGAATAATTGAATATATTGAGATACTGGGAATAAAATGAGCAGGAAAAAATGTGACTATCCATGCCTTTATAGAGCTTATCATCCAATTGGAACAAAAGATATTACTCAGTAACAAATAAGTGATAGCATCAGTTGGAAAAGAGATGTGGTGTGCTGGAGAATGTTCAGATCTTAGGCTAAATAATAATAATGAAATTATTTTGGTTAGAGGTTTTGGAAAACATTAAAACTATGTGCTCAAGCATATTTAAGAATACTGTACATATTGTATTTTCCTGGTAAAAGTAGAATCTATTGACTTGGTGGAATTAGAAGGAATTGTTTTTTTTCTGAGGAAGAACATGTCTTGATCAAGATATTTAAACATTAAGATAAAAGTGTGCAAATGATATTGCACTTATCACAAAAGCATGTGAATTATTGATGTGGACTTTGCAGGAACCTGGGCAGGGGCAGAGTAAGAAATCAAATGTTGAAGGGTTGGTGGATGGAGGAAAGAAACATGAGGAGCTGGCATGCTTAACACTCACGTGTTGATGGGCACTTAGGTTGCCTCCATGTCTTGCTGTTGTAAACAGTGCTGCAGTGAACATTGGGGTGCATGTACCTTTTCAAGTTATCATTTTCTCCGGATAATATGCCCCAAAGTGGGATTGCTGGATCATATGATAGTTCTGTTTTTAGTTTTTTAAGGAACCTCCATACCATTCTCCATTGTGGCTGTATAAGAGGGTTCCCTTCTCTCCACATCCCCTCAAGCAATTATTACTTGTAGACCTTTGGATGATGGCCTTTCTGACCGGTGAGAAGTGATCTCTCATTGTTTTGATTTGCATTTCTCTGGTAAGTAGTGATGTTGAGCGTCTCTCTATGTGCCTTTTGGCCTGTATTTGGAGAAATGTCTGTTTACATCTTCTGCCCATTTTTTGACCAAGTAGTTAGGGGTTTTTCGACATGGAACCGCAAGAGCTGTTTGTATATTTTGGAGATCAACACCTTTTCGATCACTCTATTTGCAAGTGTTTTCTCCCATCCTGTGGCTCGTGTTTCCACGTGCTTATGGTGGCGCCCACATGAAGGAGCCACAGCCCTGATGAGTGAGGCGATGAGCGGAAGAGCGAGACAGGGCTCGGAAGTCCCGCACCTCTCAAAAGAACACGCGTACCTGATGAGATGGGCTGAATAAGACTGAAGGGCTTTCTCTCCATCTCAGTCATATGAACTTCCATCTTGGTTAATGCAGGCTGCTTTAACAAAGCGCCACAGACCTGGGGGCTTGAACAACAGACATTTATTTCTCCCAGTTCTGGAGGCCGGGAGATCCAAGATTAAAGCGTCAGCAGGCTCAGTTCTCAGTGAGAACCTGCTTCCTGACTTGCTGGCTTCCAGCTGCCTTTTCACGGTGACCTCATACAGTGGGGAGAGAGCTCAGGTCTTTCTCCCCCTTTTTTAAGCCCAGCCTGTGGGCCCCACACTCACGACCTCATCCAAACCCAATTGCCTCCCAAAGACCCCATCTCCAAATTAGGTGACTTCAACATATGAGTTTATAAGACACAAATTCAGTCCATAACAATTGCATTAAATACTTCTGTTTCAGTGATCTAACATGGAGTCACTCTGTCAATTACTGCATTTCTATGACTATCTAGAAAAGGTTGTTTGTTGCCCCTGATATCACATTTTCTCTCTTTCAGTGACAGTGGGATATCTAATATTCAAAGGTGAGTTGTTAAGTTTCCACATATCTTGTGATTTTCTGGATAATTTTCTCGTTAATTTCTAGTTAATTCTGTTTTGGAGTTAAGAACATACTTTGACTAATTTCACTTTTAAAAATTTGTTTGCAGTGCAGAACATGGTCTATTTTGAGGAATGTTCCATGTGTGCTTGCAAAAAACTGTGTATTCTGCTATAATTGGGTAGAATGCTCTAGAAATATAGTTAGGTGAAGTTGGTTAGTAGTGTTCTTCAGATCTCCTACATCCTTACTGACTTCCTGTCTACTTGTTCTAGCAACTGCAAAAAGAAAAGTGAAGTATTCAGCTGTAGCTCTGGATTTGTCTTTATCACCTTTCAATTTCATCAGATTTTGCCTCATATATTTTGTAGCTTTGTTATTAGGCATATAAATATTCAGTTCTTCTTGAAGTATTAACCTCTTTGGCATTATATTATGTATCTCTTTGTTCTGGGTGATAGTTCTTTTTCAGCTGCTTTTAAAATTTTTTAAATATTCTTTATTTTTAAATTATGAATAATTATAATTTTAAAAATAGTCTTTA